CCACCCATCCATCCATCCATCCATCCATCCATCCATCCATCCATCCATCCATCCATCCATTCATTAATTGTTATCTTTTTTTCCAGCGTCATTTCTTATTCCTTATGGGATAATGTTGGCAGTCGAAGGAATTCCCCTATACTACATGGAGCTTTGCATCGGCCAAAGAATGCGCAAGGGTTCCATAGGCGTATGGAACGAAATTTCCCCCTACCTAGGAGGTCTAGGGATAGCTTCAGTCGTTGTCTGTTTCTTGGTGTGTCTATACTATAACGTCATCATCGCGTGGTGTATTTTTTACTTCGTACAATCGTTTCAATCGCCTTTACCTTGGGCTTCCTGTCCCACACATGACGTCATCGTGGGTAATATAACAAAAAACGTGCCGATTCCTTCGTGCGACGTGCGAAAACCAACCGAATATTTCTGGTATCAGACAACGCTTGGAATAACGAATAATATCGAGGATACAGGTGGCATGAATTGGAAGCTGTGGGGATGTCTGGTAGCTACATGGGTACTTTGTTGGATCTGTATGATGAAGGGAATTAAGGTCACAGGAAAGGTAAGTGTTATGGTTGGCTACATCAATGCAGCCATCTTGGTCAATAGACCCCTTGTATGTGACGTCAAAGCAGCTCAATTTGGAGGACAAAACAAAAGAATTTCAATCTTATAAGATTTGTAAACCTATTGTTATGTCCTTCGATTTAAGCTCTATTCCGACGTGCTGCAAGGGGTCTATAGAGCTGTTAAGTGTGACGTAATTAGAACGAAAAACGACTTCCGGGTCAAATTAATAATTATTTTTACAGACATTTTTCATCGTTTTTTCCCCCCATCATATCATAATTTTCTGTTCATGTATCTAATTGTTAAAGGTAGAGAATAAATCCTGGGAATAAGTGATTGGACCCGGATTGGACCCGTCACAGCTTCAAAGCACTATTATCTTTTTTATACCACCAACATGGCCGGCGTATCATTGTATTTTAATCTCGTGGGAATGGTGGGAAATCATCAATGCATGTTACAAAACAGAAACGATGCAATGTCTTTAGCGTTAATCAGCAATATCTATCTACTGCTTATTGATATATACAGCTATTTTTAAAACGTTGTCGGTCGGAGAAATCTGAGACTGAATACATTGAATAGCAAGCTGAAAATTCTAATATATTCATAGCCGAACAATTTAGTTTCCTTTTAGATTGGAATATGAAGCATCATTTTGAGTTAGGAATGTGATTTTTCATATTTTAGCCACAAAACTTTAAAACCAAAAAATCCGTTTAATCTCAGATCGCTCATCTCAGATCTCCGATATAGGTGTGTAAAGCTATTTCAAAAAAAGGTTTTTGCAGTATGTTGCATTTTGCATTTTGCTTTCTGCTTGCTAAGGTTGAATGTATTCTGTTCATCATGCCCCTGTTTTATGTCCCGATGTTAATAATGGTATGTTTTGTGTTTTCCAGATCGTCTATCTTACTGCTACCCTACCCTTAGTGCTTCTGATCATCTTCTTCTTTCGTGGAGTCCATCTTGATGGATACCAAGATGGACTGAGAATGCTGTTCGTACCTGAGGTAGGAAAGCATATGCATCTTACTTACTGATCTTACGCCCTTGTACATACAGTAACCGCATTTTCTCCATCTGTGTACCTAAGCCTTGGAACGTGTTGCCTTCCAACATAAGAAACGCAAATACAGTCTCTCTGCACTCTCCCACTTTAAGTCTCGTCTCAAAACATATTTGTATAACTCATAGTTCGTAAAACACATACATATATATATTGAAGAAATAAAAAACGCGCGCGCATGGTGTGTGCAGTTATAAAGCACGCGGGGGTTGGCAGAACACGAGAGAAGTGTTAGGAGAAGCACGACGCGTAGCGGAATGCTTCTCGAGTGTTCTCCTAATCCCCAAGTGTTTTATAACTCCTTTTATTTCTTTTATTTCTTACAATAACCGTTATTTTAGATAGTAATGACGCTAAAAAAAATGCGCGCGCGTGCTGTGTGCTCTCATAAAGCACGCGCTCCCGGCCAATCAAAACGCGAGATTCATAACAGTTATTTTATAAATATGTATAGATTAATTCATTTATTTCTTGTTCAATATAAATACGTAATTTTCTCTAGTCGTAGTTTAGTTTTTAAGATATTTTCAGTTTATCTATAATGAATTGAAAGCGCATTGAGGCTAGTCAAGGCACATTTCTAAGAACTGTAATAATAATAATAATAATTATTATCATTATTATTATTATTCTATTATTATTAATCATTTGTGCTTGCTGTCAACAGTTTGCACGTCTCTCAGATCCTCTAGTATGGTTAGATGCAGCAGTACAAATATTCTACTCTCTAGGAGTGGCCTACGGATCACTCATCGCATTCTCAAGCTACAACCCACTCAAGAACGACTCCACTAAAGACGCTATAACCGTATGTTTTATCAACTGCGCTGTCTCCATCTACGCTAGCGTCGTGGTCTTCTGTTTTATTGGATTTCAGGCGCAGAATAGAATGGATGATTGTCTTGAAAACAAACGCGAGCAAGTATTACGGATATTGAACGAGACGGGGTTAATCAGCCAAGGTCTTCCAGACTGGAAATATGTGGATATGGGAGAGATTAGTGAGAATATTCAGAATGCCTCGATAATAGCCAATGAAACGATTATCACCTGTAACAAGACACAGTTCCTTGAAGTAAGTTAATTATGTATCAAATGTCTAACATTTATGCTTTAGTGTTTAAGCCCCTTTTATTGGTTGAGCCCTTTTTATTGATTGAGCCCCTTTTGTTGATTGAGCCCCCTTTTGGTGATTGAGCCCCTTTTGTTGATTGAGCCCCATTTGTTGAGTGAACCTCTTTTGTCGATTGAGCCCCTTTTGTCGAGTGAGCCTCTTTTGTCGATTGAGCCCCTTTTGTCGAGTGAGCCTCTTTTGTCGAGTGAGCC